TGACACGCCGCAGATAAGATGACAATTAACAAGCTTCGCGCAATTACGAACTAATGAAGCTTAGACGAAGATGAGACCTTGGTTACGTAAGACGTCATCAAAAGAGATTGCTGAAGGGTGACGTTAAGGACAAAGATAATACTATAACGTGAAAGAGATATATTATTTAATTTTTAAAGGATCCAAAATTGGCCGTTAATTTTATGAAATCCATATTAAAATTGAACGTTGAAATTTTGACATCATTGGATGCTAAAAAATGGAAGACCTCGAAAAAATTCGTTTTATATTGTTTAAAAAATATGATTTAATTATAGAAGAGATACATAGATAGAAACAATGACGAATTATAAAAACTACGAAGTATAAATATTAAATAATCATATCTAATTCATTGCACGTATTATTGCTTTTAGTGAGCAACAATAATATCATGCCAGTAATATTAATTATGTAAAATATGCTGCTTATTCATATTACCGATAATAAATGAGACTTGTTCCTAAATGAAATTAATCAAAAATGAATTAAAACGATAATTATTATTTAATGAGAAATATTATACATATATGCACATCATTACTGCGTCCCAGTTAGAGAATAAGGGAAAAATAAAAGGTCTCATCAAAAACAATTTCGTAATACTAGGCTCTCACGAGGCATCTCTCTATTATGCTACATAATTACAAGCTATCCGGGCTGCCGACAATTACAGAAGAATCCTACCACGTGGTTATAAGGTCTTCAGCAACGTTTCGCGACCTCAGGAAGCAATTCGCGCGACTATCTGCTCGTTGCGTCATGAAAGATCCGTAATTTAAAATCCAGTTCATAATAAAAAGCAATGTCTCCGGTATATGTTTACTCCGATTTACTTTCCGTATACTAAAGATATATTTATTTTCGTGAAAATATTTCATCTCCCGAGAATATAAATATATGTAGATCATTTCAATTTAAGTATATTATTTATTATATTTAATATATTTATTATATTTAAAATATTTATTATATTTAATATACTTATTATATATTATAGTTAGGTATATTATTAATTTACGAAAATATGACGTAACTTTAAGATGTAATTTTTCGAAATTTGTAATTTAATTTCGGAGAAAGAGACTCAACTTGCTTACGATATTAAAAATATTGTTTTGTGTGGAATGAGAGTAACGAAAGAGAGTAGTTTTTCACCGTGGAAAGGGAATGAGAGGCTCGAGCACGCAACTTTCGCGAAATAATATGAGCGTTATCGACCCGACGAGAAAAGGAACGTCGTTTTAATCTCTCATTAGTCTCGCGACTAATGCGAGAACACGGCTTGGCACGAGTTGCCACTTTATTCTTGCCAGAGAAACATTCAAGTATCTCTCGATTCCCTATTTTTTCGTTAATACATGGACATTTTCTCCAAGAATTTATTTCTAAAAATCATGATAATCGTGAGACGATATATAATTTTATTGTGGTAGAAAGTAATATTTTTTTATTGTAAATATATTAATCACAGAGAAATTCTTATAAATTCTTCCAACACCAAATTTTAAGGGAAAATTCCCTCTGTGTACACAAATCATATTTTCATGAAATTTAATATCAAATTTTAATTCGTTTGAATTAAAATAAGCTGACGTTGAAAAAAAAGAAAATATATATTAATACTGATAAATTATTAATTAAGGCCATGTGTACGAGCAATACATATTATTTTATTATTGAGAAGAAAATTCTTAATTTAAAATAATAATTGTACAAAAGTTCGAGCTCTACTTGCTCCTCTTCAGTGCGCAAAAAAAATAGTGATAAAATAACGATAATAAATAAATACATAAATTCTATAAAAAATCCGCAATACATAGTCAATATAAGTTATATAGTTAAAACGCAAAATATATTTACAATGAATTGAGACCATAAAATAGTTCAACAAAATAAGAAACCAATTAGAAGCAGAATGATTCGTCCCGGTTATTCATAAATATATTAGAATTATTAATAAAAACTTGGAGTGACACTTATATATTGCTCCAAATGAACCACTTATCGTTATTTGACGAAAGTCCCTCGATCTGGCAATGATTATGTTCATCCTCTCCAATTATTTGATATTTGTTAAAAATTGTTCCGAATAATTAAATATATTAATACTCATAATTATTAAAAATGTGCAATATATTTGTGTAATCGTGAATTATTAATATATTTACGATACTTATTATAATTTAGAATTTGTATGACGCGTTGCTCTTGTTGCTATTCTTGTAACCAGACTCTTATGACGCAAGATTATTCAACCTATGGCGTAATTCTTTCGTAATTATAAACTTATAAATAAGCCTCTACTATTTTATATGCGCGCAGAAAGCTACATGCATGATAAATGTATCTATACCGAGGCTTGACAACAAAGTATCACGTAACGTCGATGTTCGCATGTAAGTTACATCAGTTAACGCGCTCTCCGACATTTACTTGCTCCAATAAGCAAAGAAAAAATGCTAAACATTTATACGAGGAGTAACGTCACTTTTTACGATTTTTTCAAAATTTCCTACGTACGTATGCGTCCGCAAATTTTTCGAAAATCAATATAAATGATCATTATTTTTCACACTTTCCCTTTTAATATAATTGTATATCTCAGGGTGTCCAGCAGACTCGATAAAAAAATTTCTAGACTTTTCAGATTTTCCAGACCAGAAATTAATTTTTTCCCTGACTTTTTAGTATTATTTTTTCCAATATATAATTTGCATATATCTATGTGATAAATCAATTAAATGTTAAATCATGAAATCCTTGAGATATTTTTGTCAACCATGAAAAGGTTCGGAAGTTAAAAAAACAAAATTTAAATCAATTATACAATCTGTATTATGTGCGAAAATCGAAACAAACATGTCACTATAAACTATTTAAATAATCACCCTTTTTTATTTGTATATCAAATTTTATTTTTAATATATTTTACAAATTATAATACATATATTTTAATATATTTAATGGTATCTAATATCACAACAAAACTTTTATAAAACATTTTTAATAAAATTCATGTATTAATTTTTAATAAAAAAATGAATTAAAATAAAGTTCTTAAATAATATTATAATTCTTGAATAATATTATAATATATTTTGAAATATATAACATACATAGAAATAAAGTAACACGACGATGAAAATATAAATTAACGTGCTGGGAGTCAAGAAAAAGTTTATATTTATTAAATAAAAAATGTCAAATTATTGAGACAAATGTTAATAATGTGAAAAATCCAGATAAATAGTATAGACGTTTTCCAGATTTATAAAATTCCCCGACAATGCCCAGTTTTCCAAGATTTCCCTGAAGACACCCTGAATTAATATAATAATAATTATTTTTCGCACTTTCCCTTTTAAATAATTGTATATTTGTTTCCTAATTTTTATATGATTAAAAAAATATAATAAAAATATTTAAAAGCATTTTGACGGTTTTATACGTCTTATCATGCGTGTATGTATATTTTCATGATTGAACGACACAGGTTGATAGCTGCGACGATGCAGATATATGCAAGTCTACGTCGACAGCGACACGATATCGATCTTTCGCTCGTTTATATAGACCGCGGGGGCGTGAATATAACTGCAATCGTAAAGATGCCGATCGCAGACTTCAGAATGCGAGTATTCCGAATATATAAGCTCCTAGACCCTCTCCCGCAGGATGGCCTGCCGAAGAAACAAAAGGGCGCCAGAGAAATCGATCTGTCTACCCGATGAAGAAGAGAGCCAGCAGACCCGACTCGTAAATCAGTGCACACAGTTCAGTATGAGTCTATAGACCTTGCGGATGTTAACCTCGACGAGACTTCCCCATTCGAGCTTAATAAAAAAAATCCAGACCCCGCCCGTAAAATTAGAACATAATATTACGTTCGCTCTAGGAAGTGATTCGAAAAAGCTATCTGACAAGTGTAAACTCTTGGATATGATCGAACACACTTTTTTATATCTCGTAAAAAAAGTGTTCTTTACTGATTTAATTTTTATAAGCCAGAATATAGATGCGATTATAAATTAATTAAATGTCAAGGTTCCTAAATATATGTATATGTATATTTTTAATTTGTTGGAAAATTTAAACAAATGTCCTGTTATATTAATTTATATACCTCCTTCAATTTTTGATTTTATTCCAAAACTATATTTCGAAAAAGCTATCTGAAAAGGAAACGCTTCGATATGATCGAACACACTTTTTTTATATCTCGTAAAAAAGTGTTCTTACTGATTTATTTTTATTAATTTTTAAAGCCAGAATATAGATTCGATTATAAATTAATTAAATGTCAAGATTTCTAAATACATGTATATTTTTTAATAGGAAAATTTAAACAGATGTCCTGTTATTTAATTTATACTGTAATATATACCTCCTTCAATTTTATTTCCAAAACTATTTCAGAAAGATCTCTCACATCTAGTATAAAAGAATGTGTGTCGCGATTATATCGTGTGCTCATCATAGCTAATAATATGCAATATAAGCATCGCTATAATAATCATTCCCAATATTTATTCCAATGATTCAATGTCATTATCAGCGCTGATAATGACATTCAATACGCATGAGAATCTAGTGTCCCAGAGTGACAATATAAATAAATGATCGCGAATCTATATGGAAGAGTTTTGTTCCCCAGATCGAAGCTAATAATTGCATGTACTCCAAAAATTTTGGTATTTAAATCATGTCTATTTCCATAAAATAAAATCTAAAAAATCAAGAAAATTAATAAATAAAAAGAATTAAAATTTATTCAAAAAATCTGCCATAATTTAATTATATATATGTATGACGTAGAAATATAATTTTACGGTTTTGATTTGTGACTAGTTTTATATTCTGAGACACATAGCAATTCTTCCTTTCAAGAGAAAATTACTTGTTATGCTCACAACCATGAAAACAAGTTGCATGAAAATTGATAATAATATTTAACTTACCGTTTCCGGAATTATGGATAGCCTTGATAGCCTTTTTCAGCTTCGTGAGACCATCTCTATCAAAGTCCAAGGTCTGAAACAGAAACATAACAATAATATTTAATAAAATTTGTAATCTTGTAAAATGATAAAATTTTTAAATCGCATTCGTATAGTTTTGAGCTGTTATTCAATTCGATGTGGCATTTTAATAAGTGTTTGTGTAAAGAATGATATCGCACAGGTGACATAAATGTAATATATATATATATATATATATAATATTTAAAGATATATTCTAACAACAAACAAATTATGAGATTTTATTAAGATTTAATTTTTTGTTTAATTATGTATAAATTATCAGAATAAGATATTTTATAAATACATTTTACTTTATTTTTTTCTTAGAACACAAGCAATGTATTTTTAATATATATGTTTTGAAATAGTACTAATATGTAATTGCATTTAAAAATTTTTATTGAAAAAATTTTCGTTATGGAGTAATTTTACACATTTGATTTATGATCCTAAAGAGATCATTAAATTGGTTAATTAAAAAATATTTTTCCGATCAATATTAAATTAGCAATAAATTATTGAGCTATTTCCGCTTTCTCAGTCATTCGAATTTCTTTCCGCAAGATTTCCAAGAAATCTGATTCTATATATATGACTTAGAATATTCGAATTCCAAATGTTCTATTTTTTATGAAAATCATAAATCCGGATATACGTCTTTCACCCAAACGCGTCACGGATTCGCGAATCCGGACATCCGATTAGCTTACCCCACATGCTTTCATATAAATTCTTCGTTCTATCAGCTTTGCCAATAGAGCGAGGGATAAACACGCGAAAAGAAAGATTATCCTGTAAAATGGTTACATCAATCGATTATTTATCTTTATCTCGAAAATCGGCCGGAAGTGTTGTCGCCCGTTCGTTTATTTACCTCGCGTGAAGCAAAGAAATGCAAATGAGCAAAGATATTCGCCTCACTGACACTATATATTTAGCCTTGTATCTCAGCTGCGATCCCTGAATCACCTGCCTCGCATTCACGTGCGACGCAACATATGTCGCGTTGCGAGCTAAATTCGGCACTCACGGTCGCATCGCACTTGATCTCGGCGTGGACAAGAAAAGAAAATCGAAGTAACATCGAGAGGACTTTATCATCACAAAAATACAAATTTAACTGCACTGAAAAAAAAACTTATTTAACTCGAATAAATATTTATTTCAATACCGCCAAATAAATCCTTTATTTCAAATAATAATATTTATATGATATGAAAAATATTTATTTGATATAAGAAAATTTTTTCCAAAACAAATAAATATTTATTTGCTTGAAATAAATGATTCGTTTGACAGTATTGAACTAAATATGTATTAATTTAGTCATTTTTTTCAGTGTACCATAGCTAAATTTTAGCTGTCCCTATATTAAACATGAAATTTAGATGTGCTGTGACACAGCTAATATTTTTTAGCTATAGAATTCTCCGCTAAACTATAGTTGAAAAAATTATAGTTAGCATATAACTAAAATTTAGGCATGAAAATTAATATTTTTAAAATAATTTTTGTGATTAGTTATCATAGCCGAAATTGAACTATAATGGCTAATTTTTTCCTTGTGATTAGCTGCGATCACAAAAAAAATATCAAGTTGCAGCCTTCGAAAGAGAGAAGCACAAGATAAATTATAAACGTAATCAATGTGAAATTCTAGCGAAGTCCAAGAGTAAAAAGATGGAATAAAACATTTGATAAATTGATTAATCGAGTGTAAAACTATCGGAAGCATATCTAATTTAAAGAAGAAAACCTCGATTACAATCTATCTTGCCGTTTCTAGTGCGAATCAAATCGCGAGGGGCTGAAAAACAAAGGAGAAAAGAAAAAAAAGGAGCGAGCAATAAAAACCGAAGATGCTGTACTGAAATAGCGAACGATGACGGGTGCCGATAAGGATTTAATAAGCACGCGTGATCAACGCCGGACGCGGCGTATAAATTTAACGCGCAGCGTGTAATGAACAGAGTGCAGCGGTATCGAACACTGCAGATGCACCGCGGAATGCGCGCGGAATTATCGGTGCATTAAATTATTGTCGATGCCATTATGGACTCGAGTGTCCATTATATCCAGTGGACAATTTTATCTCTCGTGCAAACTTTCCTGATATCAAAATATCAGGATTGGGTAAGTTAATGATTTTTTTTTAAACTGAGTTAAGTTAAAGTTAATTGGTTATCAAATTAATTTAGTTAAGTTCAAAGTTTTATGCATAACAAAAAATTAACTCGATTAAAGTTAAGTTGAGATTAAATTAACTAAAGTTAAATCAAAAGTTAATTTTTAAAAATATTATTTATATATTAAATTAGAATTTTGTTTGTTATTTCTTTAAAATATATGTATAACAAAGAAATTTTGATTTTATACAGAAATATATTTTTTTAATTACAATTGATAACAAATATACGTAAAAAATAATAATACTTTAATTTTAAAATAATACGTTTTAATGCATTTTAAATTAACTAATCTAAGTTAAAAGTTATTAACTTTTTAACTTTTTTTAAAACTTTTAATTAACTAATTATTACCCAACCCTGTTATAATCACTCCTAAATCGGGATTATTAAATTTTAATATTAGTTGAAAAATATCCTTTGAGAAATTCCACAGTTTTATACCTAACATAATTTTCTTTTCATTATTAATTTAACAATTAAAAATCTTTAAATATTACACTAAGAGAATTTTCTCTTAGAATTTACCCTGAAAATTATGATTAAAATCAAGAATTTTATTTTCTGATTAATGTTTACCATGATAAAAACTATTAATATCTATCGCAATAAGATATAAAATATTTTTTATTATGATAAATATTAATTAGAAAAAACTTATAAGATTCTTTCAATACTATATTGTCGTACAATGATTTTCAGGATAAATTCTAAGAAAAAATTTTCTCCATGTGTGTGATTTAAAATTGTCATAATTTAAAAATAACATACTTTTTACACATATAATAAAATATATTTAACAGAAATATTTAATAAAATTAAATCTCTTATAAAATTCTTCCTATATACTATATTGTCCCATAATGATTTTCAGTGTAAATTCTAAGAAAAAATTCTCTCCGTACGCGTGATTTAAAATTGTCATAAATTTAAATAATTAACATATAATACTTAACATACTTTTTGATACACATAATAAAAAATTTAATAAATAATTCAAATTTGAAGTCGCCAGTAGATAAAATCAAAGAAAGGTTTGTTTAAAATTCGACCACACACACTCACAATGCTTTATTTAATTAATCCTTAATATTTAATATTTATTAAAATATTAAAATCCTTAATATTTAATATTTAATAAAATATTAAAATCCTCAATATTGAATAAAATTGTGCCGAAATCATTAGACTTTCGTTTGGAGAACCGGGTGCGAACGCATGTGCGTGACAGGCATCATCGTCCAATTATTTTCGTCCGTGCGGGCGCGCGATTGAAAAAATCCAAGTGGAAGAAATAGAATACGTTGCCGGTCGACCTTGCCGGGATCTCCCTCTCGGCGGCATTCGGGCCGGCGATGCGTTTCGCCGTCCTTGAAGCTCTCGGAGAAGGTCGCGCGCACGAGTCCGCAGAGCAAACGACTCGCGGCTCCGACCGAGATCGAGAGGGACTCACTCTACCACGCCCGGGAACCTATCTCCTTCTCTGGTCCCCGAACCGGATGAGAGACCAGGAAAGCAATTGTTTGTGTACGTGCTTCTGGATGTGGACTTTACGTTGTGTTGTACACGCAGCGTCGTATACTGTCAAGGATGCTTGAATTTACAAGATGGGTTTTCGTGTGCACGACAAAAATTCTGTTTACAATATCGTTGATTTTTTTTTTTCTTAAAACGACGAGAAAAAAAGCTTTAAGCGTATGTAATGACGTAATGAAAAGCAACGTAAATCAATATCTATTATGAAAATACATATAGCGTGATAAATGGGAAACCTGATCAATCGAGGAGGCGTTTCAGAGTATGATTTATTCAGTAGGGTGGGGATTTGATATATTTCTTCTTATCAGAGGCGTTCGAATTTTATCTCACGAAGAAAATTAATGAGTCGACCAGAGACGGCCGAACTTTTCATCGGAATTTTGCAATTATCATTAAGAAGTAGAGAGAATTGTGATTATATCACAACTTTTAACGACTAGAGAGAAGAATAACATCGTATCATAAATAATAATTATTATTCATTTTTTTATATAAAAATAAATATTCTATGTAATTCATATAATAATAATCATATTATTCATTATTTTTTCTATATAAAAATAAATATTCTATATAATTCATATAATAATACATATAATTATTATTATTCATTATTTTGTCTATAGAAAAATAAATATTCTATGTAATTCATATAATAAATAATTATATTATTCATTATTTTTTCTATATAAAAATAAATATCCTATATAATTCATATAATAAATAATCATATTATTCATTATTTTTTCTATATAAAAAATAAATATTCTATGTAATTCATATAATAAATAATCATATTATTCATTATTTTTTCTATATAAAAATAAATATTCTATATAATTCATATAATAAATAATCATATTATTCATTATTTTTTCTATATAAAAATAAATATTCTATATAATTCATATAATAAAATAATTATTATTATTTATTATTTTTTTCTATAGAAAAATAAATATTCTATGTATAATTCATATAATATACATATAATTATTATTATTCATTATTTTTTCTATATAAAAATAAATATTCTATATATAATTCATATAATAAATCATAATTTTATTATTCATTATTTTTCTATATAAAAATAATATATTTAAAAATTATTATTATTGCGAATAAAAATTGTATTATTTGATAAGTTAGCCCGAAGGGAGCCAAGTTGTAAAAATGTTGATTTTTGTACACAATTAATTGATGCAGTCGCAAATCAAGCTTCTTTCGCGACAAACAAAGACACAGACACGTGTCTTGCCGGGCAATAATTAGCCGCGATGGC